ACCTATAATTACAATGATTCGCCACACGAACTGGGACCCATTATGACTTACAACTACCAATTTTCCGAGAAATTCGTAAAAAATCAGTTAATAATCATTAAAATACTGAATATCTGGAGGTACCGTTATATGGGGGCTATACGAAGACGTCAACCTGCACAAACAATTTTCTGTCTTAAGGTGTAGTATCCATTTCGAACTTCAAATACCAAATTTGAAATAATTCCTGTGAATATATTGCTAAAATTATCAAAATACCGAATATAGGGAGGTACCGTTATATGGGGGCTATACGACGAAGTGGACCTGCAAAGACAATTTTCTGTATTAAGGTGTAGCATCTATTTCGAAGTTTAAATACAACATTTGAAACAATTCCGGTAAATAATGTCGCTAAAATCATCAAAATACCGAATATCGGGAGGTACCGTTATATGGGGGCTATATGAAAACGTGGACCTACATGCCCATTTACGAACTTAACCTGCCTACTGGAAAAATAAATATGTGTGCAAAAATTTTAGACAGACAGACAGACAGAGGGCAGACAGACAGGGCTATATGAGAACGTGGACCTACATGGCCCATTTACGAACTTAACCTGCCGACTGCAAAAATAAATATGTGTGCAAAAATTTTAGACAGACAGACAGAGGGCAGACAGACGGATAGACAGACAGAGGGCAGACAGACGGACATCGTTAAATCGACTTAGAATTTTATGCTGATTATGAATATATATATATATATATATATATATATATATATATATATATATATACTTTATGGGTTATACGACGAATATTTAAGGATCAGTCTGGCAACTCTGCTCGCTTACAAGCGTTTTTCTGTGTGTCGAATATCATTTTTAATTATAAATTAATTTTTCGGTGTTTTTTTGTGTCTCTCAAGTGCTAAATAGTGATATTTCAAATAATTGAATTTATTAAAATTCCATTTGTGCGAAGTTTTCGCGTTTCATTCAGTGTTTTCCTATTTTTTTGTTTGTTATAATTAATTTTTTTTTGCGCCTTGTTTACATTGGTGTTTATATTCTTCTTTTTGGTTTCTATCCTTTGTTGCTTCCTTTGTGTTATTCTGTGTTTTGACGTTTGTGGCTAATTCCCCTTAATATCTTTGTTCGTAAATAATTAGCTTTTCTTAGCATACTTTTAGGCAGTTACATTAAATTACTTACCACACTATTTCCAAAATTACACTTTTAAATTAAAAAAAAATAACTCTTTTTTACTTGAATCATTTTCCCTATTGTTTGATATTTAATACTCTCATAATGGCTTTCTCAAATAAAGATTGTGCTGTTAGAGACATCAGTGAACGGTTAATATCTTGCTTTATTTGCGATAAATTTTGGCATCTTAAATGTGCTGGTTTCAACGGTTGACAGTTTGACTTTATTACAGACAAGGCTAAAGGTCTGCGTTAGTCTTGTTTTGAATGTAGAGATTTACAAGTTGATTATCATTGCCTATTTAAAGAAACTAAGGCTGAAATTGAAAGGTTAAAAAAAGCTTTAATTTAACTTTTAAAAAATTTGAAAAAAGTTGAAAAATTAGTATTGAATTTTCTGATGACTCTCCTAAGAGAAAAAAGGCTTTAGTTGAATCTAACAATCTTGGCCAAAATAAATTGGGTCTCGATAACTTAATAAGTATAAATTCTCCAATTTCGCCAATTCCCCCTCCAAATGCTAATAATCCATCCAACGAAAGCCGCAAAGACATAGACCTAACTTCCAATGCTTCCACTTCGATCGGAAAAAGGTGTAAAAGCTAACCCACCTGCAGTAGTCGTGCAGGCTCCAACTATAACTCCTACAAACTCTTCCGCGGTTGTCAATGGCATTGATCCCATCGTTGTAGAACGGCGTAAAACAGTATTTGTATCTAGACTTCACTCTGATACTTCTACTGACAACATTCACAGCTATATAAAATCTAATCTAAATGGTGAAACTGATCAAGATTTAAACATCTTTAAATTTCGTTCCTCTCAGCAGCGTGATATTTCGTCATTCAAAATAACTGTTCCTCCCAGATTGTTTAACATTATTGTTAGTAGTTCATTTTAGCCCGAAGATACCTTTGTAAAAGAATTTATATTCCGAGAACGCTCTAATTTCATTAGACCTGTGAATATCTTGCCAGCTTCAAAAAACTAATTGATGTTTGCGGGATCCTCTACCAAAATGTTAGAGGATTAAATACTAAACTGAGAAGTGTATTCCTTAAAAGCTTCTTTTGTGAATTTAAAATAATTGCTTTTACGGAAACATGGTTAAAATCTGATGTTCTTGACAATGAGGTTTTCTCTCACAATTATCAAGTTTACAGAAAGGATCGAGTAATGGAAAAAGGAGGCGGCGTTTTGATAGCAGTTCATAACTCGATTCCTTCTGAAATAATTGATGTCTCAGCTGATCCCTTTAGTGAATTTGTCTGTGCTAAACTAAATATCACAGGTAACACTGTATTCTTAACTTGTTCTTATATTGCTCCTAATTCTGGACTTGAAATTTATATAAATCATGCCAATCTAATTGATAAAGTGTCTTCTTTTCTTAAGGATAATTCTTCGTTATTGTATTTTATTTATATTATAGATTATGTTCCCTCGTCATACCCAATTGGTTTTACTGCCTTTTGGGATATTATATTTGAATCCTGCTGTACGAAGTGAATGGCATTTTAAATATTAAAGACAGATTATTGGATTTAGTCTTCTCTTCTTCGTTGAACATTTCGATTTCCAGATCCTCTCCCTTTGTACTTCCTGAGGACAGCTATCATCCCACGCTGTTGATAAATCTCGAATTGAGAGCCTCTTCTCCTAATATAATATCTACTAATGCCTTAAGTAAAAGGCGTAACTTTGGAAAAACAAACCTTATCGATCTTCGCACTCTTCTATCGAACACTATATGGCGTATAAGTGACGACATTGACTCCAGTGTCTCAGCATTCTATAATCAACTTAATTCTGCTTTATCTTATTCGGTACCTACTGTTAAGCAAATTATAGACCAGGGTCCTGCTTGGTTTACGCCTGCACTGGGACGTTTACGCAATTTAAAAAGTAGATTATTTAAAAAATTCAAGAAATCGAATACGGCATTGAACTATTCAAAGTATTCTTCTGCAAGGTATAAATACAACTCTGAAAATTCCAAATGTTATTCTCAACATTTAATAAAGATGAGACAGAACTTGTTGCATAATCCCAAAAACTTTTTCAAATTTGTAAATTCTAAAAGGAAAGCACAAAAATTTCCAAGTCGTCCATAACTTGGTAGTATTAAATCTAGTGATAACTTAGATATTGCTAATTTAATTGCCCACTTTTTTCAATCATCTTATACGTCGGACACTTTTAACGCTATTTATAACTACAATATCGTAAAAATAAACTATTTTCCTAGTATCTTAACAGAAGATGAAGTTTTTTCTGAGTTAAGAACATTACGTTCTTCGTTCTCCCCTGGTCCTGATGGCGTTCTAACGTATATTCTAAAATCTTGTGCTAGCGAACTTTACGTGACACTCACTAAAATTTTTAATTATTCCCTAATAAAAGGTTATTTTTCATGTTACTGGAGGTCGAGCCTTGTCTTTCCTCTTCATAAATCAGGAAATAGGTGTTCAGTCGATAATTATAGATGAATCGCTAAATTAAGAGCTATTCCCAAACTCTTCGAACTTTTAGTTTCGCGTAGGATATCACATTACCTTAAAACTATAATTTCACCTTTTCAACATGGATTCATGAAAGGTAGATCTTCAATCACTAATCTCTTAGAATTTGTTTGTCATGTACATAACGGTTTTGTTAGTAAACAGCAGACTGATGTAATTTAGACCGATTTTAGCAAAGCTTTTGATACGGTAGTGCACAAGCTTTTGCTCCTTAAATTAGATTTAATGGGTTTCCCAACATCCCTGCTAAACTGGATATCCTCCTATTTAGATTGTCGCGCCCAATCTTCTTTTTATATACATCTTCATAAAAAATATTTATGTTTCATCTGGTGTACCGCAGGGAAGTCACTTGGCTCTTACAAATTGGATAATGTTGAGTATTTTGTTGATTTGGACGTAATCTTAGATCCTAAGCTACGGTTTCAATTACACATTGACTCTTCTGTTAATAAAAATCTTTACTAGGCTTCATCAAGCGTTGGTCCAAAGAGTTTAATGATCCTTACGTAACCAAAAGATTGTTTGTTAGTCTAGTTCGACCAGTATTAGAATATGGTTGTATATTATGGAGTCCATTTTATAAATATTATACTGAAAAAATTGTCCATTGCAAGAAGAAATTATGAACTTAACATCCCAATGAGATATTTTTGTGTAATTTATAACAGCTTAGATAATACTATTTGCTTAAATAGTCCTTTGAACACAATTAAAAATATATTCTACATATGTAATTTATGTCGTGAAATGTCTATGTTAATGTTATGTTTATGTTACCTTTTATTTTTGTTTTTTCTTAACTCTATAAGCTCATTTTTACGGCATATTATGTACAAATCCCTCCGCGGAACCAGTAGAACTTGCCTTTGAGCAGCAGTTGTACATGTTATAATTAAGGTTTGTTTTACTTCATCAAGCTGCTTGATCATCTGGCATTTGATCTACAATCCCCTATGCGGAACAGTAGACGTGGCCAATGAGCCGTGCTTTTAGATTGTTGCTTTGTAAATTTATGTTTACCAATTTGTGTGTAACTTTTAAAATGACTTGTATTTTATTCACTGGCTGATGTATTATCTGTAGCCGGTGTGAAACCATCGCTAACCCGCCTTGGTCCGGATTTTGGTGTGTACACGCTCCCTACGTTATAGAGAGGTTGCCCCCACGGTCGGCAGGGGCGGGTGTGAGAGGCGTGGGACCGAACGAAGAAAAAAAGTTAAAAACGGAATGATAAAGTTAATATACCCTCCTTTCCAAAGTGGAGGGTATAAAAAATTAATAAAATTTTCGAATAGCAAAATAATTTATTTTACTTTTTACTCTTTTGTCACAACTACAATTATAAATGTAAAAAAATTGATAAACTGTTTTACAATTCTGCAAATATTTTCTAAGAATGATATAGAAGAACAATTTCATTAATAAGAATTTTATGACTAGTTCTATAATTATTTATAAATTCTTGCACTTTTCAAAGTGCATTTCCTGTAAGTAACAAAGAAACCCCTGTAAATTTAAAATTGAAGTTGACATTATTGCATGGCACTTATTCTTGCTAAATCAAGTTGCGAATTATGGAGCGGTAGAAGATTTGCTGTCAAGATTATTCCAACGGTATCTTAATATCCAGTTTTTTTGATACACGGAACATTCTATGTCAGTGTAGTTACTGTGTAATAAATATATATTTTTTTTCGAATTCAAAAATAAATTTTCATTTCAATTAAGTCAACTATTCTGACGGAGGAGTGGAATGAGAAATAATCAGATGGATTTACATTACAAAAATAGTTCAGGGTAGCCCGAGTTAGTACATCACCGAGAGACATAAAGCAAACTAATATTATATTAAAATTAAAAACTAGGCAACAGCAAGTTTCGGCAAACGCAAAAATCGATCAACAATACGATTTTTTCGGGTGTACCAATGCTTGATGATTTATCTGAATTCATGAATAAGATTATTTACAAGTAATATAATCGTTTTTTACATAACGATAATCAGAATATACATTATCATACAAATATTATACTATGCCATATTTGTGCCCAGCAGCTCAAAATTAAGTATAGTTTTTCAAATTGGCCAGAACTTTTATTCAATATTCTCATCAGATGAAACCTCTTTAGATTTATGTTTGTTAATAAGTGGCATAAAACTCCAAAGACTTGCACCAGCAAGTAGAATAAGTCCAAGAGTGTGAAAGAGAGGATTGTATTTCCCGACAGATTCGAACCAAAGACCGCAAATAGGGGGACCAACTAGCTGTAAAATGCCATTGACAAATAAACTGATGCCGTAGGATGATGTTAAACGTTCGGTTCCAAGCATATCTGCCATTATAACAGCTGTTATACCCACATAAACCCCTGAGGCTAGACCAAAAACTGCGCACCAAAAGCCAACCATTCCATAGCTCGTTGAAAATGGGAGTATTGAAAGACTTATTCCCGATATAGCTAAGCCACCTATAAAATACCAAGTCTTCGGAATGAATCCCATATCTGAAAGTGCTGAACCGCCAATACGCCCAATTAGATCTGTGGTAGAAACAATAGATATGAGGTAAGCGGCAAGTGATTTATCAAAACCTAATGCCACACCGAATGCTGGTAAAAGTATTATGAAATTCGTGTAACCTATTGCGTTGGTGGAATTAGATATTAATATAACTAAGTACGTTGGATCTCTCAATAGACTTAAGTCAAAGAATTTTGTGCGTTTTTCTTGTTCTGACTCTTGTTGCATATTTGTCTCCAATATAGAATCGGAACCAGCAACAGCACTTAAAGCTGCTCCACTAGCAACTGACCTCAATGATAGATGTGATGAAAATTCTTTAGGTTGGAACGAAAGAGTACTCCCGTGATAAGGGGTGCTTATATACTGAAAACTACTTGTAGATGGGGAAAGACGTGACAGCCTATTCTTTGAGTTATTGCGCAAGGCATTGACGCGCTCCAATTTATTACTTGATCGTCCCATTTCTTGTACAGCATAGAGGGAAGATTGTGAATTCATTTGACCAGGTGTAGCAAAAGTTTGGTTACGTTGCGGCAGGCGAACTGGAGTACTGACTTTGCGAATACGCGAAGAGGATGATGAATGAAAATCATCATGATTTTTTCCCAGATGCTGCACAACGGCTGCCGAAGCACTTCTAATAAATTGAGAGTCATTTTCAACTAAATTGTAATCATGAGGAAGTGTTGGTGGGGAGTTATAAGGCAATCCTGGATTATTGGCCACATATTTTCCATCTTCGTGTGACTCGTCTACTGATTCAAATTTCAATACTATGCCAATGTCCTCTTCTTCGATGTCTTCCAGCATTTTCTTCACTATAGGAACACGTACCATATGTCTTTCCACTGGCTCATAAAATATTGCAGCTACAAACACGTTTAACGTTATTCCTCCCATGATGAGAACCGCACCCCTGTAACATAAAATAATATTTCTTAAATAAATTGCATAGAAGATATTTTAAAGTCAAATTAATTAAATCAAGGCCTATATAAGGGCGGCCAGAAAGCACATGTGTCAATTAAGTTTGCCGCCAAAAATCATAATTGGGATTTGAAATTCAAATCCCAACAGCATGAAAACCCAAAGTGTATGGCCAAATTACTGTGAGTGGTAGTCTGATTGTCCTACCTTACATGGGCCCTGGAAATTAATAGCAGTATTCGGTATTCTGATGGTTTTTATAACATTCGTAATGGGTTCTACCTCCTTTGTCAGAACGTCATGTTTATAGGTTAATGTTTTCCTATAGCCCCCAAGTAAATGAATAATTTTAGCAGAAATTGTCCGCGGAGCCGTTTAAAATTTGATATGTATAGTGTGAAATGAGTTCTGTCTTCTAAGACATTAGACTGCTGCATTAGGTTCACGATTTCTTATATCGCCCATGTAGTGTACCTGCCAATATTTGATATATTAGCCACATATTCAAAAACATTTTTTCCCGCTTTGCATCTGATATTAAACACTTTAACAAGAAATTGCCTATGTAGTTTATCGTTTTGGCGTTACCCCTATTTTTATGGGTTTTATTTTACTGTAATCTGTAACCGACCCACTGGCCAAAATTAAACTAGATGGGAATATTTTTATTGAATACGTTATGAAAATCAAAAAAAAAAAATTCTGAACACATATATATAAATATGAGGAGTGCTATATTATGAATCCACTATATAGTAGTAGATATTAATTTGTCAAACACACATTTCAACACTTTCCTTTGTTTAATTAATTTATAAGTAAACGATTATATAAGCAATACAATCGAGGCTTCTGTAGGGGTTTGGTCGTTAGATCTGCACGTTTATATTCAGATGAAACTTGACATGTTGACAATAACATTTTCTGTAACATTTTCACGTATGAAAAAATGCTTGAGATCGTTGTACTTCGTTTGCTTATAATATTCTGGAATCTTTTGAAGTTTTTTTTAATCATATTACTTCTCTTGCGGTTGTTGATGCAGTTGGTTGCCCTTGACTCATCCAAGATATAGCTGTGCCTACATAGGTTACTACAACACCTGTCAAGATTATTCCAACGGTATCTTAATATCCAGTTTTTTTGATACACGGAACATTCTATGTCAGTGTAGTTATTGTGTAATAAATATATTTGTAACATAAAATAATATTTCTTAAATAAATTGCATAGAAGATATTTTAAAGTCAAATTAATTAAATCAAGGCCTATATAAGGGCGGCCAGAAAGCACATGTGTCAATTAAGTTTGCCGCCAAAAATCATAATTGGGATTTGAAATTCAAATCCCAACAGCATGAAAACCACAAAGTGTATGGCCAAATTACTGTCAGTGGTAGTCTGATTGTCCTACCTTACATAGGCCCTGGAAATTAATAGCAGTATTCGGTATTCTGATGGTTTTTATAACATTCGTAATGGGTTCTACCTCCTTTGTCAGAACGTCATGTTTATAGGTTAATGTTTTCCTATAGCCCCCAAGTAAATGAATAATTTTAGCAAAAATTGTCCGCGGAGCCGTTTAAAATTTGATATGTATAGTGTGAAATGAGTTCTGTCTTCTAAGACATTAGACTGCTGGATTAGGTCCACGATTTCTTATATCGCCCATGTAGTGTACCTGCCAATATTTGATATATTAGCCACATATTCAAAAACATTTTTTCCCGCTTTGCATCTGATATTAAACACTTTAACAAGAAATGGCCTATGTAGTTTATCGTTTTGGCGTTACCCCTATTTTTATGGATTTTATTTTACTGTAATCTGTAACCGACCCACTGGCCAAAATTAAACTAGATGGGAATATTTTTATTGAATACGTTATGAAAATCAAAAAAAAAAAATCTGAACACATATATATAAATATGAGGAGTGCTATATTATGAATCCACTATATAGTAGTAGATATTAATTTGTCAAACACACATTTCAACACTTTCCTTTGTTTAATTAATTTATAAGTAAACGATTATATAAGCATTACAATCGAGGCTTCTGTAGGGGTTTGGTCGTTAGATCTGCACGTTTATATTCAGATGAAACTTGACATGTTAACAATAACATTTTCTGTAACATTTTCACGTATGAAAAAATGCTTGAGATCGTTGTACTTCGTTTGCTTATAATATTCTGGAATCTTTTGAATAGTTTTTTTTAATCATATTACTTCTCTTGCGGTTGTTGATGCAGTTGGTTGCCCTTGACTCATCCAAGATATAGCTGTGCCTACATAGGTTACTACAACACCTGTCAAGATTATTCCAACGGTATCTTAATATCCAGTTTTTTTGATACACGGAACATTCTATGTCAGTGTAGTTACTGTGTAATAAATATATATTTTTTTCGAATTCAAAAATAAATTTTCATTTCAATTAAGTCAACTATTCTGACGGAGGAATGGAATGAGAAATAATCAGATGGATTTACATTACAAAAATAGTTCATAGTAGCCCGAGTTAGTACATCACCGAGAGACATAAAGCAAACTAATATTATATTTAAATTAAAAACTAGGCAACAGCAAGTTTCGGCAAACGAAAAAATCGATCAACAATACGATTTTTTCGGGTGTACCAATGCTTGATGATTTATCTGAATTCATGAATAAGATTATTTACAAGTAATATAATCGTTTTTTACATAACGATAGTCAGAATATACATTATCATACAAATATTATACTATGCCATATTTGTGCCCAGCAGCTCAAAATTAAGTATAGTTTTTCGCTATAACATTCCAATATCTTGAGTCCTTCTTTCTTATACGTGGTTCCAATATCTAGGATCCAGCAATATATATGAAAACTCGGTTTAGTCTCTGAATATCATCTTGGGTATAGTTATCAAGGTATCTTGAGAGGAAGCCATCGCTGTATGCCAGATCTGGCATTGTTCCCAGCATCAATCACACATCACATCAGAGCACCTACTGCTTGTCTATAAGGAAATTAACTTCTTGATTTTTCTGCTTTTGAAACACTGTGTTTTCCATCGGTGTTGAAACTGGAGGACACTCCAAGAAATTAAATCTCTCCAAAATCTTCTTGGAATATGTTTTCTGGAAAATTTTAATTTAATCATAACTGTTTTTAACTTTAGAAACTATTTTGAACTCTGATTTTAAACTGCTTAGAAAATCCTTAAGATCATCTTTGTCTGATGCAGCTACCAATCCATCATCAGCATGGAGAGCAAGGATTAGCTTTCTACCATCTTTCTCTCTTATAAACAAACAAGTTCTGCAGCCATCATTAAAACCAGTTTACCACATAAAAATGCAGCTTCTGAATAGTTTACTGGAGACTCTGTTTGGTTAACGAAATCGTGTGACATCATTTCAATATTATCGCTGATACAATTTGATAATATAACTGTTCGATTTCTTCACCGTTTTATATTGCTATTATCACATGTGTCATCTAATTCGTGTTCTCTCCGACGTTTCCCATTTTGAATTTTTCAAAATCTTCTAAGTCGCTTATTTAATTTTTGTCTTTTTTTAATCGAACGTTCCCACGCCTCACGTTCCCAGCCCAGCCAACGGAGGGGGCGACCTCCCTTTACGCAGGGATCTCGTACTCATCATGATCCGCATCATAATGAGAATTTAGTAGGAAATTGAAAACCTACTACAGAATCTAATTCATTAGCTAGTTTGTCAAATAATAAAACATGTATTTTAATTGTTTAAAATAAAATTATTCTAGATTTAATAAATTCTAAACTCATACCAAAATCTGCATTACAGTACACAGAATTAAAGTCAATACACATTTTACTAAGAGGTTCGCCCATTGAATACTTCGTGCGGTGAAAATCGGTACACAATTTTTGGTAGTATCTACTAGACCTAAACGGAACATTAATTCTAATAGATGAGATTAGGAAATCTGAAGGTATATTACCATATACTATTTTTAGTACAAAAATGGAGTTCAACATAATACGTCTGATTTTAAGTGTAGGCAATCTAATTAATTTTAGCCTGCTAGCATAAGAAAGCAAAACAAAATTACTATACCAATGTAAACCCCGTAAGGCAAATAGCAGAAATTGTTTTTGCACGGATTATATTTTATCTGAGTATATTGCATATTGAGGATCCCATACAACAGAACCGTATTCTAATATAGTCTAACAAAAGACGTAAATAGCTGTTTTGTTATATATGGATCAGAAAATTCTCCATTCACAATTTGCTTTATTTACTATTATTACATGGCCATTAAAATTTAATTTTGGATCCATCAAGAGGCCAAGATCGACAAATAACTCTACAGTTGATAATGAATGACCTTCAATATTATATTGCAATATCAAAGAAGAAGATCTGGAGAAGCACATATGCTTACAACATTTGCTTAAATTTCCAGCCGAGTACATTTCAGTTCCGTTTTTGTTTTCACTTATCTACACAAACAGTACAAAACAAGAAACAAGTCCCATTATCTTCTAATATCGGTTTTGATTCGTTTCGTACATCGAGAAAAAAACAGAACGAAACGATTGCAAACGTTTCCAATAGTTTATATTCGTTAGCTGCTCAAAATATCACATTATCTCTTTAATGTAGACACGATATCATATCTAATATATCTGCCTTTTTCTCCATATCCTTCCGGTGTTGACTAGGAACATGAACATAGCATTTTGATCCGATAATTCTGGGTTGTTTAAATCTTGGTTTATTCTCAATTTTTTAACATGCCGTTTATCTTGATGCCCAATCAACTGTGCATAACGTTTCATTCGGCAACCGGTGTCCAGATAAAATCGTTTCACCTTACACTCTTTAATTGTAGAATAAAACTTACTTGAGGGGTTTCTGTAATGTAAAGACAACATAGAATTATTTATCGATGAATCATACACACCATACATTCCCAAGTGTCACCGTCTTCTCGGCATTGTTTACTTTTAAT